GTGGGTGGGGGGGGGGGGGGGGGGGGTTAGGGGGGGTTTGACAAAGATGAAAAATCAAACAAACATGATGAGCTGTTCTGCTCTCCTCCTGCACCAAAAGGGTCACTGTAGAGAGAGGGTACAAACACACAGACACACGGAACTGACACAGACGTGACCGAGGAACAGTGTAGTGCTTATATACAGACATACAAGGGCAATGGATGATCATGTGATGTCATAATCAGGGTTCACTGAAAACAGTACTGTGGCGGTACCATGGCACTGTAATTGTGTCAGGTGGAAACACCATGGTACTTTCAATTGGCACTGAATGATTAGCGTGTTCCTATACCATTACCATAGTATTTACATGGTACTTCAAAGAATACCATTGTACTTGCACATAGGGGTGGACGATATATCAAAATTATTGTGAATATCAGGATGATTTTAATGGGTTTTTGTTATTTGGCTATTAAAGGGATAGTTAACCCAAAATTAAAAATATTCATCAATTACATACCTTTACGTTGTTCCAAACCCATAAGACTTTTGTTCATCTTCAGAACAGGAATGAAGATATTTTTCATGAAATCTGAGAGATTTTATCCATTTAAAGTCCATTCCACCAAACCAAACTTTGACACTTGTTCATAAGATTCTAAATGAAATCCGTCTTCTTCTGAAGAGACATGGCATACATAGAGCACTTCAAATATGGTAAACGGAAACTCAACTGTTATTGCTTGACCCGTGAGAACAAACCTTATTGGTCTGTATATAGATTTGTATAGAAAATACTGATGTTTGCTACTAAGGGTTTCTATATTAATGTGTGAAAATGGCTTGATTTTTAACTGTTGTATTTTGATTCTAGTTGATTGTAATTGCATTCATCTGATTGACAGAAAATTATCACCCTTTTAATACTGTAGTAAATAAATAAATAATGAGATGTATATTGGAATTTTTCATATTTGAGATATTTTAGATATACCGTCCAGCCATACTACTATAGTGCGTGTCCAAAGAACATGGTACAGTAGTATTATGGTAATTTCTAAGACTTTTGAGACCGTTTTCATTATACGTGGACTTCTGTTAATCGCTCAAGTGTACATGATTATCAGCCGGTAATCTCAAATTGGCCAAATGCCTGATTATTCGCCTAGGTTGATGTATTGTGTGTCACTGCTTTGAACTTTGTCCTGCACGTTTTTGTGTGTTAAACATCTAAATGCCTTGTGTGTGTGTGTATGGTTGAAATGGTTTTCTGTTAAAACCCAATGGAATGCATGTCTTTGGAGCACAACAGAAGTGTCTGTGTCTGTGTGTGTGTGTGTGTGTGTGTGTGTGTGTGTACATAGTGGAGTTGAGGCGAGCTGGCTGGGGGTGGGGTGCTGCTACATATTTATAGCAGTAAGTATGTACATTACTCTACTGCTAGCGCCTGATCTTCTGTCCATCCCCTGGGAGTCACCATCCAGGAGCTTCTGTGTCTCACCGCTTCTTGATGTTGTTCTCTGTGCCTTCCCCTCTTTCTTCCTGTCTTGCTCTTTTGTCCTTGCACTCTCCTTTTTGCTTGCCTTGCCCCTCTCACTGTTCTCTCTCTCTCCTGCATTTCTCTTCTCTTTTCTCTCGCTGGCGAGTTTTCAGAAAAGTGTGTAATTCAGCGAGAGGAATTAATTTGTCTGGTTGGTTTTACACATCAAGCCTGTGTGCTTCACATTTTCTGTATTCCAATTTCAGTTTTGCTCTTGTTTCAAAGTACTCTGGCATGATTGTTTTATGACAGTTTTACATACAATATTAATGTTTACATGTATTATAATTTATTAATAATGCATTAATTAAAATGTGATGATGTGAAGTTTATCCCTCTTTAATCTTGAAATGTCTTTTATGGTGTATGGCTTGTTTTCCAATTATATACACTATTATTTAGAAGTTTGTTATTATTTATAAGTCTGTTATGCTCACCAGCACTGCAGTTAATTATCACAAATACAGTAAAATGGTAATATGGTGAAATATTACAATTTAGCTGTTAATATATTTTATCATGTCAGTGTATCCCAGTGATGGTAAAACAGAATTTATTCCAGTCTTCAGTGTCACATGATCCTTCAGAAATCATTCTGAGATGCTGATCTGTTGCTCAAAAAACATTTTTCAGCATCATCACAGTTGAAAACAATAGTGCTGCTGTATTTTTTGTGGAAACCATGGTACATTTTTTTCAGGATTTGATAAATATATAGTTTAAAAAAACAGCATTTATATGAAATAGAAATCTTATTGTCACTTTTTATCAGTTTAATACATTCTTGCTGAATAATATTATATTATATAATATGTTGTTTTTATATTTTTATTTAAATAAAAAGTACACACACGTCCAATTTTAAATCCTGTCTCTGCTGCTAATCTGTACCACTTGACTATCTAGTCTTGCACTCATATTAACAACTACTCAGGAGTCAAAGTGGGGTTTTTTTTCCTCCTTTTGGTCATGTCTTATCTCGCTCTAAGTGAGCCGCTGCCATTGATGTCCCTTCATAAACATTGGTGCCTGACACCCCTGCTTCTCTTTCTCTATCATTCTCTCCCTCAGGGTGGTTGAACTACCCGCTGGACAAAGTGGGTTTTTGGCGGACAATGGAGTGGTTGATCGAGAAATTGACGGGTCAGAAGCCACGCAGTGATGACCTGGCCTGGGCCAAGAAAACCGAGTGACCAGGATAGCAGGACTGAATTCCCTCCCTCATCCATCTCAGAAACCAGAAACCGAAATATGGGCCTTAACTCTGTACCCCAAAACCTCTCTCCTATAATGTTCCTGTGTCCCTCTGTCTCCGCTAAACCATCTTCTCTACAGCACAGAACCACAGATCACTCTTACTGCTGGGGCCTTTTCCTGTCACTGAGGTCTGCTACACGCAAGCCATCACCTGTTCCTCCTCTACTGGCTTCCTCCTCAGTTTTGTAGATGTCCATACGCAACGAAATAGTAGAAAGACAAGATGAAGTTCAAAACGGTGGTTTCAAACTGTTGAGATAATGATGAGAGACACTGTTTCCCTCACAATCCTTTGCTCCATCTCCATGTGCTTTCCCGTTTCAGTGTGTAAAATGTATGTTTTCTGGAGGTTGGGCTCTCCAGAGGACCGAAACCATGTTGTGATTTTCCCAGCATGGTTTTCATAGCAAGGCATGGAATGAAATAAGCAATTACATCTGGATTTGATTCCACAAACTGCGAGAAAAGATTTATTGCCATCTCAAACACTCTCTCCAGTTTCACAAAAGCATCTCGGCAGCGTTAAAACCCTCCCTTAGTTTGAACCGGAGGACGCATGGAGGATCCATTTCTCAAAAAACGCAGAGAAAGGGTTTTGTTGGCCAACCCGCGTGGTCAGTGCTCAGTTGACCCAACTGAATGTTTTCCCTGAGTGTTTTTTACTGAGCTCGTGTTAGCCTTAAGTACAAACCCATTACACTTATTTCTAATCAGCTTACCGGGGCTTAGCGGTGATGAACATTGATTGACTCTGGTGTGTTAGCGTGACATGTTATTGATGTTTGGAGTAGTATTAGCAGTCTAGCTAGTGATGTCCTCCTGCTGTATCCTGTGGTACAATGGTTTAGCAGAGGTTGTACTAGCAAAAGGTCACTTTAGAAAAAGGTCAATTTGAATCTGAGTTACCAAGCTTTATTAAAGAGAATTATTAATGTTTTTTTTTTTCTTATTGAATTATATATGCACACTATTTGACCAGTGGTAATTTTCATGCAAACCTCAAGCAAAAAACAGCCAAATACACTCCCTATTTTCTCTCTCGCACATATTTACACACATGCACACTTACAGATTTTAATCACAAACTCTAAAAAAAATACACACTCTGTAAAGACTTCCTGTGGATTTATGTCTCTCCATTTGTGCTGAACTGATAAATGGAGAGAATAAGGGTTTTATATAGCGTTTCATTATGGATTGATTGTCTCACGTTCTCTTACAACAGCTGCAGCTCCACAATTTGGGTTTCATTGTCTGGCTTTTTTAAAATTTTTTATAAATCACTGTATAATATAACCCTCAGCCTTGTATTTGTTATTTGTTCTTACTTTCCATCTCGCAGCTAATGCTTGCTGCCTAGTCTGCCTTAAACCAATGATTTTATTAGCTGTATGATTTAATAAATATCTAATAAATAACTTTTTTTTTTATTTATTTATTTTTTTTTTGTAACTCAAGTGATTTTTAAATGTTGCTCATTAAATCTAAAAGTTAGAAGCAAAAATGTAGTTCTCTTTGTTAAAATGAGACTGTAAAACAATTACAGAGCTTTGCAAAGATAATTGCGCTGGAAATCTGCTGGGTACTTTGAGGTGATTTAACAATGAGTCACAAGCTCTGTTCTACTCAAGTAGAAAATGTTTATGAGAGATCCAGGGGAGTATATTTAGAAAAGCACTAAACTGCCACCTTAATTTAATAATTTGTAACAAATGATTGGAATGAGCGATTTATGTAAGATGGACTGTGTGGAAAGTAAATGAGTTAAGAGCGCCCTCTGGTGGCTGAACAATATCCACACAGCTGAACGAATGATACTGTACTCCATTTTCTCTGCACTAACTAAAAGAATTATAGTACTATCATGGGTTTTGTTTTTGTGGCAATACCTTGGTGTTTTTTAATTCCTTTGCAGTATCGCCAAAAAAAAAAAAAAACTAACTGAATAAGGTAAATATTCATTACCATGAAATATATTATCTGAAATCATCACTGTACAATAGTACCACCACAGTACTTTTTATAATAGTGGGCTGACAATTATCTGATCATTATGTTATGTATTTGTAGTCAACATTAAAATGTTATTGTGACTGCATAATTCACAAATGAACTCTAAACCTGCCAGTTATCACTGAAACGGGTGTCCCGAGGTGCCATTGACATGATGTTGGGAAAGGACTGCTTGTTTGGCCGAATAACGGAAGAAGCGGTAAGTGTTTTCATAACCTTTTTATGAACAGCTTTAAGATTCTCAGATAAAAACAATCGATGGTAAACCTGTAGTGCACGATGCCATTGTCAATCTTTATCACAGTGCTGCATTGTTTGTCAAGTCCGCTTCCGGTTTCCTGCAGCAGTGAACCTCTTGTGGGGACAGAGTGATGCTGCTCTGGATCTGCCTGAGAAAATGATCAAATATTTTCTTTAATGATAAACCATGTGTAATATGTAAAATGAAATGTGCCTTAAACTGATCTTATATTCAAAGCCACTCGTATTGCCATTGTATTTTTAATTAGCAAGTTGATGTCAAGCAGTTCAGAGATGTGAAATGATTTCTTGTTTTTAATGAACAGAACCCCTGTTGTGCGGCTTGGTAGTCTGACCTCTGTGACCTGGTAATGGGGACGGCGGTAGGATTGGGCTTTTCTACCCAGTGATGGGGCGAGGTGTCAAATGTTTCTCACATTCTTCTTTTATAATGGTCTTGACTTGACATTAGCAAAATGTTGTATCTACAGTATATAGGACGGAGCAGAACAGAGAATACTTTCTTCCCCTTGAGTCCCTGAATGTAGACGAGGTTATGTAACCACAAAATAAACACTGATTGCAATAACATACTATCAAATTAGCCATGATTCAGCCGCAGAAAATCACTAGGCTTTGGAAATTACAGATTGCACTTTAATGCAGTACTGTTCCTGGAAGTCTCTCATGAATTTTGGAGCGAGTTTAGTATTGTTGTTGTTGTTTTTTCCCCCCATGTGAGTATTTACAATACCATTAAATTGTTTGGAGTCAGTTAGATAAAATACTTTTATTCTTCAAGAATGCATTAAATTGATCAAAAGTGACAGTAAAGATTTTTACATTGTTACAAAATAATTCTATTTTAAATAGATGCCATTCTTTTCAACTTTCTTTTCATAAAAAAAAATCTTTAAAAATTCATGATGTTTTCCACAAAAATTATTAAGCAGCACAACATTTAACATTGATAATAATAAGAATTGAGCACCAAATCAGCATATTAAAATTATTTCTGAAGGATCATGTGACACTGAAGACTGGAGTAATGACTTCAGATATATTCAAATAGAAAACAGTTATTTTAAATTGTAATAATATTCACATTTTTAGAACACCAAACTTATAAATGTAGTGATGGTCTTTGCAGATGTGCTGTAATTGATCATGTGATTAAATTCACGGAGATAAACTTATTTCTCATTTTTAAGCTGATCAGTGCAATAGTTCAACACCTGGAGCAATATCTTACTGTGGTTAGTGGTAATCAGTCACTTTAAGTCTACTTCATTGGATCACATTCTTTAAACTAAACAATAAAATATCCTTAAAACAATCACTGATTTGATGCTTCTGTTTCTGATGGTATTTTTAACAGGATACCTTCACAAATTATCAATCTAAGCCCATACATAATATACTGAAGCCATCTGCTGTAGCTACCAGTCTACTGACGGACACATAATCAGAGCCTTTCTGTGGTTGGCTGTGTGAAATAGTTTGACAGTTTTGCTACCAATCATGTCCAGAGTGACACAGCCGGATCTCTGGCACTTCATTTCAGTGAGGGTATGCTGACAAATGATGGACAGACCATCTAATTTGCATAACAGACTTGATGCTATCTATTAGAGTGCTAGAGGCAAGTTCAATTCCCTCTTTTTATTCACAGAAGAGTGAAGAGAGCACTGGAAATGATTGGGAAAGTGGGAAAAGGATAGGGAAATGCTGTTGGATTTGAATTCACATTACTCTATTATAGCACCACAGCTCAATATGTTGGAGCATGTGTGCTGCTCACCAGGCCACAGCTCATGTTTAAGCTACATATAAAACTAAAGACTGTCGCAGTTCCCTCTTAACTTATTCTGAGATCATCACATAATGGTAAATATCATAAGACTGAGTGCTTCCTGGGCAGTGATAGTTAGAACAGAGAATGAAGCTGAAAGTTAACGAAGATATGGCATGAATCAAGGTCTGTTATTGTTGATTATCTTCAAATATTAGAGTGTGATTAGCAGTTTGATCACAACGGAAGTGATTTCCAGTCTGTTTGGTACCAAAACCTTCTGAAAAGCAACATTACATTACAGTATCTTCTGCATGTTCTGAATGCAACGGATGTTGATCATCTCCATGTAACCCTAATAATAGGCTAATTTATGTTAAATAGAACTTAGTATTTTTTACATATTACTGTGTTTTTCTTTTGGTATATGGTTATGGGTGTAGGCAGAGTGACATACTGTGCAGGGTGAACAGCAGTGGTACAGAGATGGAGAGAGAAATGAACTGCTGATTCAGGCCTCTAGAGACTACAGTGCTGTCAACCTGTCAAATCACGCACAACTGTCACTACAGCCCTGTTCACTTGCTGGTATAGCTGCTATAGCTAGCTTACGTCAGCATAGTTATGCATGCTGTTCTCCTCCAGGCCTTTAGATGGCCCCCATGTGCCTCCTCTTTGACACCTCTTCCACATGCAGAATGGGCAGATGTGCATTGTGTTGCTGACAGAGATTAAAGTGAAGATGTTAATTAGGTGGAAGATGTGAGATCTGTTCTAGATGTGCAATTGAATGTGCACTTATGTCTTGACTTTCTTGTTAGTCGCTTGTACAGAAATGATCATTTTTTGTGTGTGGGTGTGGCCCAGACTTCTGGAAAAGTCCTCACAGATATTGTAATACCTCATTAAACTGACTTTAATGGTAAATCAAACTGGCCAAATTATGTCTTAATTAAAAAATGCCATAAGGTGTCTGTAAGGATGAGTGTGTGGTAATTAGCTTAATTTAAGAACTTCAGAAGTTAATTGGAGGTACTTAGAAGTATAGATGTGAAGGTTTACATGTATTTGTGTTCCCATAGTAAGGACACATCTTAAATAAGATCTTTAAAATATCAGTTATATCTCCTAGACAGCAGATGGAGGCTTTAGTTTAAGGTTGCTGCTCAAACTTTTCTTATCAAATTCTTCCAAGAACAAATTATTTTATATTTTTCTAAGATATATCTATAGATTGATAATTATAGTATCATGATATCAATCTATGTTACAGTAATTGTTCATTCTATATCCGGAAACACTTTAGGAAACACATATTAAGAGTTTTCCCTCAATAAACTCATTTGATGCTTATTAATAGTTAGTAAGGTAGTTGTTAAGTTTAGGTAGCATATGGGGTAAGGGATCTAAAATATGGTCATGCAGAATAAGGCATTAATATGTGCTTTATAAATATTAATAAACAGCCAATATGCTAGTAATATGCATGCTAATAAGCAACTAGTTAATAGTGAGAATTGGTTATTAAAATAAAGTGTTAGCCTATGTCCCAACAAATATTTTGTTTGTTTCTGCTTTTACAGTATATAAGGAATTTTAGGAGAAACATCTGAGACAAAGTTATAAGACTCCAT